GGACATCAGTGCGCAAGAAGTTCATCAGGGGGACACAACTCCAGTCACTTAAATCACCAACCAGTTGGGCAGTAAAAAATGGAGTCCGTGTTTATAACAGCAGTGTTCCTCGTGCGAAGGAAGAATCCATTTTCACTGAATGGCTGTAGGGGACTATGGTGGTATGTGACATGCGCTCGTGCAGTTGATGCCCTACTTGTATTCGTTAAGGAAAAGACAACTATAATTCAGATCTGTGTTTGTTTGACAGCTGAAATCAAGTAAATTGTACGGGGTATTCAGAAAGGGTAATTTTAAAATATGAAGGTCAGTGATTGGAAGGGGGATTGACGTGACCTTTCTCCTCGTGACGTCATATGCGACGTCATATAGTGTAGATGCGGTGGCTAGCCTTGTGGTTAAAGCGCGAGCTCATCACGCAAGAGACCCGGGTTCGATTCCCGACATGGGTACAATGTGTGAATGACATGTCTGGTGTCCCTCTCAGTGACATTTCTAGAATATTCCTGAAAGCGGCGTAAAAACATACTCACTCACTCCTTACCTGTACCCGGATCAGCTGAATCCTGGAGTCTCGCCTGTAACTACTACTGTTGGTCTGACAGCTCCATACCCGTGCACGTGTTTCTAGGATCGTAGTTAACTTTTCTCAGTGGGGTGGGGGCGGGCACTATGCACGTTCGAGGCTGCGAAGCGGGAAATTTTTAAAATTAGATGCTCTCAGATGGAATGTCCTGCTTTCTGAAGGTAAAATGACCCCTTTTATGTAATCTCAAAGTTTATAATATAAAATATTATATGTTCTTGCTTCGTTTAACCACGTTTTTTTATAAAAAAAGTTTCTTTGTTCAAAATTGTTGCATCTGTACATAATGTTCTGAACTAAACTTTATAAATATGTTTAGACATGTCTGTATACGTGCAAAACAACAGTTTTGTTCAGTTAAAGCATTAATACTGACTGACTGAGTTTGGTTTTACGCCGCTTTTAGCAATATTCCAGCAACATCACGGCGGGGGACACCAGAAATGGGCTTCACACATTGTGCCCATGTGGGGATTCGAACCCGGGTCTTCGGCGTGACGAGCCAACGCTTTAACCATTAGGCTACCCCACCGCCCCTTAAAGCATTAATATATAATAGTTGTGTTATTAAATTCAGTTGACAGTCTAGAAATTGCACGTGAAATTTACATAACATACATGATATCTTCAGGTTTGTTCAATATAACTCACTCACTCAGTTTACTCATTGCAACTTAAGTCAATCACAAAGTAACACATTTAGTTCCAAGGGAATGTCAAATATTATACACTCTTAGCTGTATTTGAAATCTCTCTCTCTCTCTCCTCTCTCCTAAAAACGGCGTAAAACCTTACTCACTCACTAACTCTGACACAGTGACTTTCTATCGAGCCCAGAAACTATGTAGCCAAGCCATGTGAGATTTATTGTAGAACATTTCTCCACAACCACAATATCTGACCAACACAATATTTGACCAACACAATATCTAATCAACACAATATCTGACCAACACAATATCTGACCAACACAATATCTGACCAACACAATATCAAATCAACACAATATCTGACCAAAACAATATCTGACCTACACAATATCTGACCTACACAATATCAGACCAACACAATATCTGACCAACACAATATCAGACCAACACAATATCTGACCAACACAATATCTGACCAACACAATATCTGACCAACACAATATCAGACCAACACAATATCTGACCAACACAATATCAGACCAACACAATATCAGACCAACATAATATCAGACCAACACAATATCTGACCTAAAAATCATCTGACCGGCACACTATCTGACCTACACAATATCAGACCAACACAATATCTGACCAGCACAATATCTGAACAACACAATATCTGACCTACACAATATCTGACCAACACAATATTTGACCAACACAATATCTGACCAACACAATATCAGACCGACACTATATCTGACCAACACAATATCAGACCAACACAATATCTGACCAACACAATATCAGACCGACACAATATCTGACCAACACAATATTTGACAACAGAATATCTGACCGACACAATATCTGACCAACACAATATCTGACCAACACAATATCTGACCAACACAATATCTGACTGAGACAATATCTGACCGACACAATATCTGACCGACACAATATCTGACCGACACAATATCTGACCGACACAATATCTGACGGACACAATATTTGACCAACAGAATATCTGAATAAAACAACATCTAACCGACGCAATATTAGACCAACACAATATCTAACCGACACAATATCTGACCAGCACAATATTTGACCTACACAATATTTGACCAACACAATATTTGACCGACACAATATCTTACCAACACAATATCTGACCAGCACAATATCAGACCGACACAATATCTGACCAACACAATATCCGACCGACACACTATCTGACCCACACAATATCTCACCAGCATTATATCTGACCGACACAATATCTGACCCACACAATATCTGACCAGCACAATATCTGACCCACACAATATCTGACGCACACAATGCCTGACCGACCCAATATCTGACCCACACAATGTCTGACCGACACAATATCAGACTGACACAATATCAGACCAACACAATATCTGACCCACCCAATATCTGACCAACGCAATATCTGACCGTTTCAAAGGGTATTGACTTGTTTGTTCTCAGAGCCTTCGACCCAAGGAAGACAGCGATGGAGTGATTCTAGCATAGTTCCGCGAAAGTAGGGGTCAACGTGTCCGCATTCGTGACCAGTGTTTTCCCGACCCACACAATGCAGATCAGCATGACATGGCTAAAACTCTCCCAACGCATAACTCGCCCTCAAGTCACAACAACCGCCATCAAAATACGCGCAATGTAATAGTGCATGCTTGACAAGAATAAACAGCGCGCATGCGCGTCGTGCCAGGACAACGTCAAATATTCAGTTAATTTTCGACTCCTCAACGGCTTAATTAGCAGCTGTGAAACACAATACTGTGATGTATGACAACAATTCGCAAGGCTCGCACAAGTTTAACATTTTACACTCAAACGGCCCTAAATTCGTTTTCGCCTTGAAACGGCCCTAATTGCAAGTAATTTGTCCTGAAAAGGTTCTATACTTAGCAAAAGTTTTCAAGTAATGATTTGCGGAAACTAATACATAATATAATACCTTGTAATGACAGTGAGTGTTAATTAATTTCCATCGCGAAGCAAAACTTTTCCAGTGGAGCGATGTTGCTAAGAATGTCTCCTGATGGTCAGTCCCACATTAGACAAACCGCGTGTATTCAACTACTGGTGTCAATATGTTTCTATAGTTTTTTAAAATTGTTGACGTGGCCTTGAAAACCCTCTTAAAAGCCTTATATTTGATTGACGGCTGATCTGAACGAACCTGATTTAACCTGTATGGGTCACTGATGTTCCTTGACTCGTGGAAAGCGTTCACTCGTCACGCCGAAGACCTGGGTTCGATTCCCCGCATGGGTACAATGTGTGAAGCCCATTTCTGGTGTCCCCCGCCGTGATATTGCTGGAATATTGCTAAAAGCGGCGTAAAACATACTAACTCACTCACTCACTCACTCCTTGACTCGGACATCTGGACATTAGCATGCGAATGAGTAGTGTTTTATTTCGCAGTCAGGTACACCCATGCCAATTAACGGCAAATAGTACTCCAGTTGAATGGCTCCGAAGACACTGTACCTATCCTTTCGAGAAGCTGGAATGTGACAGGCGTTTTCGAGTGGATGGGGGAAAGGTAGTTATGCACTTGGACAAAGGAAGACACCAAATAAACTGATGTTCAAAAGAAGTAGAGAATCTCGCCCGAGTGTCTTTTGATATCAAATATATTACCACGAGTTGATAAAGTCCTCCTTGCCGAGGATACTTTTACTTTTAACAATGGGTTCTGAAATATTTGTCATCAGAAGACACGAGGGTGAGATTCTATTTATCATCAAAAATCACTTTTCATTAGTTTTCAATGAAACAAAAGACTTACAGTGCAGCGGTGTCATAGCATTGTGACGTCATCAAGTTTATGATGTCACAGCATTGTGATGTCATCAGGTTTTTAACGTCATAGCGTTGTGAGTCATGTAAATGATGATGTCATGGGATTGTACAAAATCTACTGTCAAAACGATACCTCCTAGGAGACATGTAGAGATTATTACACTTCATTTTTCATATCTTGCTCGATATCATCCAGAGACACCCATGTCTAACAGAGGCCGTGATATCGGACAAGATATGAAAAATGAAGTGTAATAATCTTTTTATCAATTAATACCTGCCTAAATTAAGATTTCTTTTCAGTTCCATGTTTTTTTTTATCTCTTTGTCCAAATACAGGTTGTTTATTAAAAAATAACCGATACAGACAACAAAGCCAAATATTCCGTTCAGTGAATTTAATAAACTCAGAAAACATAGAAATACATAGGGTAAACATTTTCAGGTATGTACAAATATCAGAAGCAAGTATGCTTTTGTCAGTTCATCTTCGGAGTCACTTTCAATATTCACTGCGGCATGGTATCTCAGTGGGCTAGCACTATAAAACCAGCTTGAGTCTGGGCTAGTACAACCAGCCGCACATACACATACACACGCATGCACGTCGTCATATGAGCGAAATATTCTCAAGCACGACGTTAAACCCAATTTCACCTCACCTCACCTCCAGTTGTGACCTGCAAAATATTAAACGATTTTCATTCAATAAACTTCCTATCTAATTGTAGTGTTTTTCACTGTATTGGGCGTCTGATGAACCTGGTGATTAAAGCGTTCTTCAGTCACACCTGAAGCCTGGGTTCATTTCCCAAAACGGGTTCAACATGGGTTCGCCACCGTAATATTGTTGGAATATTTACAAATGGGCATAACATAATACTCACTCTCTCACTTGTTTTTGTGTCTTCTTTCAGATTGCCTCTGAACCCTTATTGAATGAAGAAACGTTTCGGACAGCGTCGACGTTGACAAGGACTGCGACACACTATTAATCCAATCTTTTTAAAATCAGGTTTTAGCTCTCTGAAAACATCCCATTACAGGTCAGACAGCTACTGATAGCTTGAATGTTAATATAAGTACCTTCCAAATAAAACCATTTTGCTTCAGCTTCATTGATGTATGTTTCATATTTTGCGTTGAGACTTCAACCCAGCGTTTTATTGTGCTGACAGCCTTTATAGGTGAGTGAGTGAGTGAACGACTTTAAAGAGGTTTATCTTGGATCACAAAGACCAGTGAGTATTAGTGTGAGTGAGTCTAGTTTTACACCGCACTCAACAATATTCCGGCTATATGGAGGCGGTCTGTAAACAATCGAGTCTGGACCAGACAATCCAGTCATCAACATTATAAGTGTCGATCTTCGCAAATGGGAAACGATGACATGTGTCAACCAAGTCAGCGAGCCTGACCACCCGATCCCGTTAGTCGCCTGTTACAAAGAGGTGAGAGAATGTTGTGTTACGCCGCTTCAAGTAATATCCAATCAGTACCACGGCGGCCATAAAACTACTGACTGACTGAGTTTGGTTTTACGCCGCTTTTAGTAATATTCCAGCAACATCACAGCGGGGGACACCAGAAATGGGCTTCACTCATTGTGCCCATGTGGGGATTCGAACCCGGGTCTTCGGCGTGACGAGCCAACGCTTTAACCATTAGGCTACCCCACCGCCCCCATAAAACTAATGAGTAATGCATATTTGTTTGTTCGCTGTTTAACGCCGCACTGTTAGAATTGGACGAATGAATCCTGGGACATAGGATGCCAGGTGGATCAGTTTAAGTTCTAATCTGCTAACTGATCGATATAGTATTGATTGGTTACATTGCTTCAGATATAGCACCAACTATGGCTAAGTATACACCCCCGCCACAGCCCACAATTGCCCTCATCCGATGTCATGTAATACCAAAAAGTTTTAAACAGTTATTCATATTTCGCTTGTGTACTTTGTTCACCCTGTTCAACATTTTTCAAGTCGTCAAATTTGGTCACATCAGGTAACTTAGTAGATTGAAATAAACTTTCTTTCATAGATTTGTGACTTAAAAATACTTTTTAAGATCCTGTCTCACATGCCAGTCAGTGAAGTGGGCTAGTTTGATTTAACCATGTTGGTCAGTATTTCAGTTATATTTTGGGTGTGTCAGCTAATTGACGTCAAGTGAGTGAGTGAGTTTAGTTTTACGCCGCACCTAGCAATATTCCAGCTATATGGCAGCGGTCTGTAAATAGTCGAGTCTGGACCGGACAATCCAGTGATCAACAGCATGAGCATCGACCTACGCAATAGGGATATACGATGACATGTGTCAAACGAATCAGCGAGTCTGACCACCGATCCTGTTAAGTCGCCTCTTACGACAAGCATGGGTTGCTGTAGAATAATTCTAACCTGGATCCTCACGTGTTCTTTGCAACTACCAACTTAGTAGAGTATAGCGATCGGTTTGGTTTCTTCAGTTTAACACTGCAGTCACAAATACGCAAGCTGTATTGGAAAAAACAAACCCGTGGTTGATGTTGTGAACACCGCCCCAGCTGAGGCATACAGCGTGACCATCCAAATCCATTTTCGACAAACGTGGATTCGAACCCAGAATATTGTGGGTTAACATATCTGTATCCCTACGTCCACAAAACTATGTCACACGAGCCCCTTGAACATACGGGGTGGTGGGGTGGCCTATTAGTCAAAGCGTTCACTCGTCACGCCGTAGACCCGGGTTCGATTCCCCACATGGGTACAATGTGTGAAGCCCATTTCTGGTGTCCCCCGCCGTGATATTGCTGGAATATTGCTAAAAGCGGCGTAAAGCTAACTTCACTCACTCACTGATATACCATACCCCTTTAAATGATGACCCGTGTAGTCTCGTTCTTAAGCCCACGTCTGGTACATACACATGTCTGACCCATTACCAAATCTGTCAAATACATTCTGTGCCAGGCAACGACAGTATCAGTCACGCAGACTCCCTTATCATAAGCAGCAAGTAGACTTTACAGCTTTTACCTTGCCTTCAACCAGAGATTTCTAATTTGAAGGAAAAAAATGACCCACTTCAAATGAATCACAGCGAACTCAGTTAAACTTTGAACTATTTTTTAATAGTTCGTCGAGTACAAACGTAAAATATATTATACATATATTTTACAAGTCTCAGTGATGTTTGAAAATCATTTCTACGACAAAAGGGGGTGGGATAGGGTAGCCTACTGGATATAGTGTTCGCTCGTCACGCCGAATACCCGGGTTCGATTCCCGACATGGAAACAATGTGTGAAGCCCATTTCTGATGCCCCCCGGAATATTGCTAAAAGCGGCGTAAAACTAAACTCACTCACTCACTGCACCAAAAGACAAATTGTTTGCTGGTGTTTTGGTCGGCAACCCTTCCATATCATTTCAATACTCTGCAACCAAAAGTGGGCTGATGCAATAAATATATAGAGATAACAGGTTGCGATTCTATTTTCGAAATACGATGTGTTGGCTTATGCAGCTACGCGAATTGTTTAACACCCCAGTGTTTCGAAAACGATGTTATCAACACACTCGAATGTGTCTCGTGCGATAAAAAATGGCGAGGGATGATTGCTAACCTTTTTTAAACCCTGGCGAAATAGCAGTAGCGTATATACTTACATGCCGTGCCATCAACACCTGCTGCATGGATTGCACGAGCTGCACGCGGCATTTGTCCACCTACAAGGCGTGAAGGACAAACTGCACGAGCTAAACATGCATATTGTGACACTGAATGCATTTCGCGTCGTATGCTTCGTTAGCTTTGTCCGTATCATTAAGTTTAAATAATCTGCAATATTTTTATATATCGATATTTGAGGTCACCGTTTTATAAATTAATTCTATTAATATGCAAATTATCAGGAAACTACAACTGTGAATATTTCTGAAACAATCCAGCAATATTTTGAAGCTTTAGAGAGCTACAAATCATTCAAAACAAAATATTTCCATAAACACTTCAAAGTATCATTCTAACGTTTTTTCTGTCGCTCAGATAATCCCCCCAAACACAAATCAATGTTTTAACACCCGAAAATAATCTGTGAATTGTTAAATATTCAGTCGACAAATTCAAAGCTTGAGAAAACTGTAAAAATCGATAAGTGGCAGATCGATCAAAATCAAGGCCGTGTTGGGTTGACTTGCTTGAATCTGGCGCTGATTTAACGAAATGTAGGGAGGTAATGTTGTTCTTTGGACAGACACTTTTTACATAGGACGGAAAAGGAAGAGGTGTGCCCATTAAATTCTTGAAATACAGAAGAGTAGATTTTTTAAGACGGGGGGATTTAGACTCGCAAATTCAAATTTGAAAATAAAACGACGGAACTTTCTTTTTCAAATATTCTTTCAATGCATCATTTAACATTTATTTACACGAAACAAATGTGTCTGTTTTTCTTGTTCAAATTAAGCCAAAATTCACTTTCATCAAAAGCAAAGAAATAGAACTGCTTTCATTTCAAACAGTCTAGAGACCTATAATTTTTTATAATGTTAGGCGTCTGTTTGTCAAGTAAAAGGTGCACGCCCGATCGTTAAAAAGAGCTATATCTTCTCCAATTAGAAAAACACTCAAAAAGGGTTAAGCAATACCTAATTGATTGATATTAGTGTACTTAAAATGTCAAGCCGTGACTGATCAACTGCATGAACAATGGCATGAAAGAATCGAGTGGTCTTTCATTACTTTTGGGTGGTATGTGTTTCATATTTTTATCTTATCTACAATCTCATTCAAATCAGATCTTGTATTCGATTGAATAAATTATAACCAGTACAAAGGAAATGCACCTGTTACATATGAACGTTTGATTTAAATTGAGAAGTGCCTGTCATATTTGGCGACTTAATGGATCGGATTGTAAGACTTCATTCATTCATTCACGCAAGCATGCACTTACTGATTCATTCATATACTCGCAAAGTCATTCATGCACGCACTCGCTCACCAATTCACGTCATCAATCATGTTCTCGCTGACAGACTCGCCGACTCGTGCACTCATTGAGTTACACACAAAGTCATCAGCACTCACCAGTTCACTTAATGAATACCCGTGAAGATCGGGGTAGAATGAACCTTCAGCAACCCATGCTTGTCGTAAGAGGCGACTAACGGGATCGGGTGGACTGGGTTGACACATGTCATCGCATCCCAATTGCGTAGATTGATGTTCATGCTGTTGATCCCTGGATTGTCTGTTCCAGATCCGATTACTTACAGACCGCCGCCATATAGCTGGAATATTGCTGAGTGCACTCACTCACTCACTCACTCACTCACTTAATCAAGCATGTTCTCAACGACTCGTGTACTCGTTCACTTGCACACAAACTCATTCACGCACTAACCAGTTCACTTAATGAAGCACGCACTCACATACTCGATCATTCTCTCACGCAATCAAGCTGTCGCTTACAATCAAATCGACAAGACAAGGCGGTGCCAAAGCACCAGGAAGGTATAAATTTAATAAAATCCAATAATTTCAACCAAGCAAGTATAAACAAATTCTCATCTGGTTAAAGTGAAAACCCGTCCATCTTCTACGCAGTCTATCCAGATGTCACGGGCGTCTCGGCGTCCGAGGATCGCTCCATATCGACACATGACGTTAATTTGGGCAGGTGAGGTGCTTGCTAAAGTCAGCACAGCGCCAACCCCAATGACAAAACCTTGTGTAGGACACGACATTGAATCGACGAGCTGCGAGGAGCATTGAAGTCTTCGGCACGTAAATAACGGTTGTTTATGTTTTACTGTTAAGCAAACGTGAGAACAGTCACAACCTTGCAATTGAAACTGCGGATCTGGATAATCCGCACAGTCGATAAGACAGTAGGGTGGAAGGTATGCCCTGGCACAGACCACTCGGCGCTAGCAAATACACACGTGCACCACGTGCACCACACCAGGCTCCGTCCACAGTTCAGTGGGAATGGATTCTTCCGCTGCACGAGAAACACCTACTGTTAGAAAACAAACAAACACGGTGTTCCCGTCGAGTGAGTGAGTGAGTTTAGTTTTACACCGCTTTTAGCAATATT